AGTACCGTAACTGAATGTGCTGTATCATCAATCATCCTGTATCTCATCAATCCAGGATTATATTAGGCACAGAGTCTGGTTGACTAACAACTTCTAGTTATTCAGTCCAACCAGACCCCTTAATAAGCCTAGTCCACTTGCACCACTTAATTAAGACCATAATATATAATATATATTATTAGGGAGAATCTTACATTCTCCCACTTGGTGCAAGTACTAGCACAACCTTCATCAAAGAACAAAACACACGAATCATAGTGACATGTCCTCTATTTAATCAGAGTTATATCCACTATGGTCACATGCATTTTAATTCTCCAACTTAGGTCCTTTATGAACAAACCCTATGTTTATTCTTGGTACCTTAAGGGATGTTTCTCAAAATACATTATGTGCACAACTGAAAGACAAACACATCCAAATTGTACAAAAGAGTACATTGTATGATCTCTAAAACTTTAGAACCATGCCTCAAGTGGAGATCTCTTAATGTTAGCATAATTCTTACTATATTCTATGACGTCTTTATAAGTTAACATAATCACTACCTCTAACAGCTAAGAGCTTGGAATTGACACGTCTGTCACTCGCACTCATCAAAATAACCAAAAGATAGTCAAGTAACAGAAGCATTCCAATAACTTAGACAATAAACCAAAGGTCCAAGTCCATAAATTTGGACTCTTAATCATACACCATAACTTCCCAAATAACGTCAATGTCCACTTTAAAATGAACTGAACACAATGAGTCTTACTTATATGCCCCACAAAATTGTCTTGAGCCTTACAAACCAAAATTGCACAGGATCAATTTTGAAGAAACTAAAGACTCCATTAATCACTGAAGAATTTATTAAATAACAGCGCACCACAAGTTAAATGCTTTTATTCTAATAAATTCCTTAATATTGTTGCAACATTTTCATAAATATGTTGCACAACCAAATGTTCAATAATTTGAACTTATGAATTTATATGAACAAATACAAGATTAATACTTGTGGAATATTTTGGACTTATTGTTTAACATACAATCCAATTTGGAATGTATGAATACAATAATTAAATCCAAAAACTTTAGTGGAGTATCTTAATGATCTTTTTCTAAATGATCACTCCCACTGATTAAGATATTTTTCAGCGAAATTAATAAAGTGAACTTAATAATATACATATTCATAATTGATTTGACCAACTAACAAATGAAGACATAATTCCCCACCATTAGTTGGACATACTAAATAATCAATTTTTGGTTCCAATTAAAGTCGAACTAAATAATGAAGATATAATTCCCCACCATAGTTTGGACATACTAAAAAAACAAAATATACCTTCCAAAACCAAGTTTAGAATTTGGCTCAAAAGATACATTTTTTTAGTATTGGATTCCAAAAGAGGTATGTCAAATCACGTAACTTACTACAGTTAGTCCGAAGAATCGAGCAAGATTCGTGGATTAATTAATAAAAGTGACAAAATTTTGGGAAGTGACTGAATACATGCTTTGCCAATGCAAACCATGAAACTTAGAATTACAATTGAGCTAAATTTATATATTCTAAGAAATTGTGAGAAAATTATTATCTAATGGGTTGAGTTATTTATTGACATAAAACTTGCCTGTTGATTGTTGTACTTTGTGATTAATTTCCTGACCTAATTTCGTAACACCCCCAAGGAACATATCTAATTCCATATATTATAATTTGACACTTAACAAAAATCTTTTATCATTAGAATACTCATTTGTAGGAAAAGAGGCAAATGCTGCAAACTTGTTTATGATGACTAAAATTAACATAATTATGCAAAATATATGGTGATCAAATAGAGAATGTGTAACTATATATATGGAGACTGTGTGTCATATAATATGGTATATGAATGAGAAAGACAGGTATTTACTATTTAGTTAAGAAATTCACAAAGATTTTGAAGGAAGTTTCCAAGTACTAAAATACAATAATAATAATAATAATAATAATAATAGTAATAATAATAATAATAATAATAATAATAATAATAATAATAATAATAATAATAATAATAATAATAATAATATTTGAAGTATCAACACATTCCTGAATATAAATAGCAGATTAGTGGAAGAACTCAAATGCCCAAATATCACACACCACATTGAAATGCCCAAATTCCACACTGAGTATATATATGTTATTCACATCAATTTTGGCCATCTGAGAACATGCCCGCATCTGTCATGTAATTATATATATATATATATATATATATATATATATATATATATATATATATGTATATGTATATATATATATATATATATATATATAAATTGTAAACATACGTACCCTTTTTTGGTTTTATTCAACTATGACTCTTTCCGTGTTGGAGTTTTGGGATGAAAACGTCGCAGGTAGTACTGCTGTTGATATAGGCTGATTTAACGAGAGAGAAGGATTGAAAATTTGTGTTGTGTAAAACACTACCTTAAAAGCAAAATTGTCCGAAAATTACCAGAATTCTTTCGACTGGTTGCACATAGTCACTTTGCGAAACTTGCAGTCGAACCTGACTTAAGAGCTCAGACAAACACAAGAGAGAAGAGAATAGAATGAATATGTTGTGTGTTTGAGAGCACTGGGCGCTGGGTATTTATAGGTTCTGAAGTACCAACTCTCCCACTTCATCCACATGTTTTCCACAAAAATAACAACAGTTGAGAAGAAGTAGGCCACACAAATGTGAAGACTTATTATGGCCACACAAATTATTCTGGACTCTACTTATTTGAATGCTATTTTCCAACATCCCCCACACATTCAAACAAGTGTGAAAGAAGTTGATGTCTGAGCGGAAGTGAGCGCTGACCTTGATGCAGTGGTTAACATTGAACTGACACGTAGTGACTTGAGTAACTTTCTCTTTAGTAGTGAATTATATCTTGAACTAGCTAAGGAGAGGTAGTTTTGAACTCATGTGCACACATCAGCACCCGTTATGCAGGTTCTTCGAGAGTCAAACTCTTTGACTTAAGATCTACCTCTATGTAGACTCTACTTAGAACATTTCATGGTTAGTTGTTTATGTATATGTAAGATTTTGCTTACATGACTGGCTTTAGGCCCATTTCTTTTGATCCATCTAGGATGGTCTTTCTATTTAGTCCTTTGTGAGAGGATCTGCAATATTCCTCTTGGACTCCATATACTCTAATGTGAGTGCTCCAGTCGTAATCAACTGTCTTACAGACTCATGTTTGACCCTTATGTGTCTTCTTTGTGAGTTACAGTGTATGGGCACAGACGGTGTATCACACCCCTACCATGACACGTCTGCTAGTAAGTTTCTCAACCACTCGACTTTTTTTCCCAACTAGATCAAGAGGTATAAATGCATTCTCCATTGTTGATCTAGCTTAGACAAGTCTGTTATGTCTATCTTAATATAGACTTCCACCCTGTCAAAGTCTATCTCACCATAGACTTTTAACTCTGACAAGTCTAATCGCATTATAGTTTTTTATGTCTTGTCAAGTCCATCTCAATATAGACTTTTAACTCTACCAAGTCTATATCAGTATAGATCACCTTTATAGGCTTATAGAGTAGTTAAGGACATAAATCAGTTGTAAGTCTTTTCTTTCTATCATAGGCATTGTTCTTTGCAATGCAAACGAGAGGTTGTGAATCACAATGTATATGTAGTGAAGGTGTTAGCTAGACACCCCCACAAATCCACATTTATCAACATATTTCTTAGTCACTCAGCTTATTGGGATACCCCCCCATTATCTTTTATACGAGGCAGTTAACCCTTTTTTCACTCAAGTCAGGGATCTCGTTAGGTCTACCTCAAAATAGACCACCCCAATTGAGTATAAATCATTAAGGGCACTTTTGTACTCAAACATTATGCGGAGAATTCATTAAGTCCATCTCAATAGGACCACCCATCTCATAGGGTTATAAATTCATTAAGAGCTGTAGCTCAACCTCACAAGTGAACACATTATAGGAATGATCGCGATCGACCAATTAGTGTACTACTTTGTGATTCTTTTCATTGCTTCGTTTGACCACAAAAGTGGGATCCACCACGAATTCATCACCTCATGGGCTTTAAGCCATTCCCTTAATAGTTCAACGACTAACCTCATAATTAGTCCTCTCTATTAAGGTAAATTGATCCTCTGGATCAAACTTACGTACACTTTGACGAGTACTTTGTTTACTCACAAATAATTCCCTTAAGATTTTCATGTTCAACATAAAACATTCTCTTTTACCATTATTGTCGATACCACAGAGAGACTTTTAGAAAGAAATATATAAAATGTTAATTACCCTCACAATGCATCACTTTCAAATATTTTTCTCAAAAGTATTTGATCTCTTACCCATATTGATCTTTGGTGCCCAACATTGGCTCCTTTGTAGCTTGAGTTTTGTAGATTTGCTTTGTGAAACATTACAGTAACTCCGTACTTTAGCTAATACATACTCAATAGTTGAATATATTTCAGCAAACTTGGTTATCTCAACGCATCATAATTAACCTTTAAACATGAATTATAGGTCTTTTAAGATGACTCAACCAAGAATAGGTATAAATGCTCATTGTTAGTAAGCCACAGAGATTGTTGAATTTTGTGGTGAAAGAAGAAACCAAGCTCAATGGTGTATTATTTCTCACATTAGAATTAGATACAAAACAAACTATAAATAAGAGTTTATCAACCAGAAAAAAACTATTTATCTGCTATACAAGCTGAACTAACTTATTTAACAAAAATAATATGTTGATCTAGTCTACTCCTACTTTAATGCATGCATGGATTCTTGTGGCTCTAGATTTTAACACCCCCTCGCAAGCTAGATCATATACAGAGTGTATGCCTAGCTTGGTCTTGAATCGTTGAAATAAAGTAGGAGCATGTGGCTTCGTAAAGAAATCTGCTAATTGATTGGCACTAGAAACCTACATAATCTTCAAAATTCCCTTTTTGATACGCTCTCAGACAAAATGACAATCAATTTCTATGTGTTTTGTCCGCTCATGAAATACTGTATTCGCGGCAATAGCAAGTGCAGATTGACTATCAGAAAATAACAATGCCAGAGAAGGTATCATAATTCCCAGATCAGCAAGCAAGAATAACAACCATTGGATCTCACAGCTAGTAGTTGCTAAGGCTCTATACTCTGCCTCGGAAGAAGAACGAGAAACTGTTTCTTGTTTCTTTGACTTCCAAGAAAGCAATGAATCACCAAGGAATACACAATATCCACTAATAGAACGTCTCGTCTTTGGACAAGCTGCCCAATCAGAATCTGAAAATCCTTTCACTTGAAAATTTGAACATGCAGAAAACAAAACACCTTGTCCAGGGGAATTCTTTATGCATGTATCTCAAGACTCTATGCACTGCTTTAAGGTGTAGCTCTGTAGGAGCATCAACAAACTGCGACAACTGTTGTGTAGCAAAAATTAAATCCGGACGAGTGAATGTCAAATATAATAACTTACCAACCATCCTCCTATAAGCAATGGCATTACTGAGTGCAGGACTGTCAGCATGTAGTTCCTTTGAAGAGATAACCATAGGACTTCCTACTGGTTTACACCCCAAAAAATTTGTCTCCGCCAACAATTCCAAAGCATACTTACGTTGGCACAAATTAATTCCATCTTTATTCCGAGCAACCTCTAAACCCAAGAAATATTTTAAAGGGCCCAAATCCTTAATCCGAATGGAATCATTAAGATGTGATTTAATAGATTAAATTTGTACAAGATCACCCCTTGCTACCACGATATCATCAATATAAATTAAAAGAGTAATAAATGAACTACCCTTTCTTCTAGTAAATAAAGAATGATCAAACGCAGCCTGCACAAAACCTTGACTAATTAATTCAGTAGTCAACTTTTTATTCCACTGCCTACTAGCCTGCTTCAATCCGTACAAGGATTTAACCAATTTGCATACCTGTCCTGGTTTGCTGGAGTCCACACACGGTGGTAGGGACATGAAAACTTCTTCATTTAAGTCACCATGCAAGAATGCGTTATTTACATCTAGTTGATGCAAATGCCAATCCCTCATAGCTGCGGTAGCCAGTAACACTCGTATGGTTGTAACTTTTTCCACTGGACTGAATGTGTTTAAATAATCCAAACCAAAATTTTGGGTATACCCTTTAGCCACCAACCGTGCTTTGTACCTCTCAATATGCTTTGTACCTCTCAATAGAACCATCTGCATGAAGCTTAGTCTTGTAAACCCATTTACACCTAATAGGCTTTTTACCAGGTGGTAAATCGGTTAAAATCCACGTATTATTAGCTTGAAGTGCTTCTAATTCGATTTTCATAGCCTCTCGCAAATGATTAAACTTAATAGCCTCATTATAACACCTTGGCTCATCAACAGAAGATGTCATTAAAATTAGTTTTTTATGTGATTCTGAAATTCGATCATAATGAATAACTTTAGAGAGCAAATGAGGTGTACCTTCCATTTGCACACAAGAACTAGAAGGACCATTTTTTAAAAGTGCACAATGGTAATCTTTGAAGTAGTTCGGAGGTGTTCGATTTCGATTAGAGCGTCGTAAGGCAGGTTGTGGATTATCACCAACTCCTTGTTGACATTAAGGAGCATGACTTACAGTAGAATGACGCAGGGCAGGTTGTGCATTTTCACTAACTCCTTGATGACTTTCATTGTCTGAAATACCATGTTGTGCCGAAGGAGTTGGTTGCAATAATATAGTTCTATCAACAGAACTTTATTCCACTAGAGCTGGGCTAACCTCACTAGTAGAATCACGGTCCTCATTAAATCCATAATCCATGTGACCACTAGACAAGCCAGGTTCTACACCACTAGAAGCCACTTGCGCCTCATCCCCACTTACAAGTTGTGAGAAAGACTTGCATAAACTGTCATCTACAAATCCTGAGCCTGCCGGAAGAGGGACAGTAGATTGATCTGAAATATCATCTCTTTTTGTAAAAGGAAAAATTGACTCATGAAACACAACATCTCGTGATAAAAACACTTCCTTAGAATGCAAATCATACAATTTAAAACTTTTTGTACCTCTTTGAAACCCAATAAATATACACTTCCGTGCTCGAGGTGAAAACTTTTTTTCGTCCAGTAGATAATGTAGAGGCATAAGCAAGACATCCAAAGACCCTCAAAAAATTATATACTGGTGCTTTGTTCATAAGCAATTCATAAGGTGTTTTCCAACCAATAACTGTTGATGGCAACCGATTTATGAGATGAACTGCATGTCCAATACAATCTGCCCAAAAACACTCAGGCAAATGAGCTTGAAAACGTAATGCACGAGCTACAACCAAAATATGTTGATGCTTGCGTTCAACAATACTATTCTGTTGTGGCATGTCTCGGCAAGAAATTTGATGTTCAATACCTTGACTTTCATAAAAATGTCTCATATTAAATTCCTGGCCATTATCAGTCCGGATACACTTAATATTACTCTCAAATTGTGTAGAAACAAAACAACAAAATTTTTTAAGCAATAAGCGTGCTTCTTGTTTACTTTGCATAAAAAATACCCACGTAACACGAGTAAAATCATCTACAATTGTCAAAAAATAATAGTGCCCATAAATAGACGGAACGTGATCTAGAGCCACAAGAATCAACTCAAAACTTTTAGTAGATGATGTAATACTAGTGGGAAATTGTAATCGTTTCTGTTTAGCCAAAGGACAAATACCACAATCCAAATGGGGATTGCATTCTATTGAATTATCAAGCATTTGCAAGCCTTTTAGTTTCCTGGTAGAGGGATGACCTAGTCTGAAATGCCATATATCAAAGCTAGAAATATAAGACATAGCATATTTTTCTAACGATAACTCTTCCTTTGTCTCTCTGAAATGATACAGGCCCTGCCTCTTCTCAGCATAACCAATCGTCTTACTGCTCATCCCATGCCAGTCTGTATCTCACAATATCCAGTAGAAAAAACCACACAACAACCCATATCCTTGGTTAGCTTGCCAATAGAAATCAAGTGAAAATCAAATTCTGGAACACACAAAACATCCCGTAAAATTATGTGTAAAGATAACTGTACATCACCCACATGTGTAACTACACTTTTATTTCCATTGGGAAACATAACATGCATACGATTAGTTTTACGAAGAGTCATAAAACATGCAATGTTATTAACAATATGGTCCGTTGCACCTGTATCAACAATCCAGATGGGTGTATGAGAAGAAAAAATGTTTTTACCTTCGTAAGCAATCGGCTTAAAAGATGCTACTAATGCATTAGCCTTGGCTGTCGAATCTGACAATTCTGTAGTCTGACAATTTGGTAATGTTTCTTCCGAATCATTACTAGCCATAGGGAATGAAAATAAATAACAATGGAAGCAACTTAAAAAGGCTCTGATACCATGTTGAATTTTGTGGTGAAAGAAGAAACCAAGCTCAATGGTGTATTATTTCTCACATTAGAATTAGATACAAAACAAACTATAAATAAGAGTTTATCAACCAGAAAAAAAAAACTATTTATCAGCTATACAAGCTGAACTAACTTATTTAACAAAAATAATATGTTGATCTAGTCTACTCCTACTTTAATGCATGCATGGCTTCTTGTGGCTCTAGATTTTAACAGAGATAATGTTATCTGCATGCTGCTTCAAGTTGGACAACATAATCACAAATTTCACATAATATTCTTAAAAGGAATTAATCTCATGTGCAAAGAATATGTTCAAACTGACATTTATAGGGAATATATTTCAGCAAGGTGAATTCAACAAGTATAACTTTAACACCCAAAGTTATTCCACCTACACAACTTTTCTTTCACTTGAGGATATTAAAAACTTATATAAAGCATTCATATGATGCAGATCAACATTACTATTGCAGTACTTCAACAATTTCTATTGCAAGGCTTTGATTGTTTAACAATATATGAAGGTCATCCTCATTTCAGGTGAAGATCAAGTGGTGCTCTAACTAGCCTGCATGATCAACACCCTGCTTCTTAAAAACTCCCAGGTCGAGTGGTGAAATCGAAGTTTTCTTAAAAACCATCTTCCTTGATAGAGTATTCAAGAACGATGACTTTTCAATGCTACCACCATAAATTTGAGTAAAGCCTTTGAAATTAAACTCAGTACACAATTTAAATATTTAAGATTATGTGACTGTAATATAGTATGTATCTCATCAAATAGTGAAATGTTTGTAACATATCCACAATAATAACACATAATATTGTAAATTGACATGTGCATAAGTACACAATTTATAAGCTTTATATTATATTGATGATTTAATCACTTAGTAGTAGTGTTAAATCAACACTTCTAACACAACAAATTCATAAAGCTCATACATATGAATAATAACAATTCACTTATCTTTGTGTACACCGCTGTTAATTTTCTCTATAATATTCAAAGCACTCACCATACAAAATATGGAATGGTGATTTCTAAAAAGCTTGTCACAATATATATTTCACGTTTCACATGCTCTCAAAAGATAATAATCAATTGGATGCAAAGATATAGGCAAACCATCTTCTAAATTATGCCATTATGATAGTTTTTAAGGGAACATGGTCAATGCCAATAATATATGACTACTGCTCAAGATAATCATCTGCATATGATAGTCTATTATCATATAAGTATGCATGTGTCATATTAAAATATGAGGAGGCAAACCTCATTGGCAAGACTGAGCTATGTAAAGAGTATACATGAATGATGACTCTTCAATTCCATGCTACAAACAAGTTGCATTAAAGCCTTTGATATATGCTTATTATATCTTTATACAAATAATTTTAGTACATGATTCAAATCTTTAAAAATCATGTGACAATGATATATAGGCATCCCATGTTTAATTTTTGAAAGAACAAGTAGCCCCTATTAATAAATTAATGGTATGATAACATTTGTGTTCCTCAATTGTCTAAACACAAACAAATTTTCTCCTTTTTATTTTAATTTTTAAATCTCAAATTGCAAGGATCACCATAAATAATGTTTACATACAATTCCAAGCCCAAAAAATACATGTCTCCATATAGGCATATAATAACATAAGATATTAATTATCAAGATCCAACATTTATATCTTGGACGTGAAGAGTAAGAGAGAATATTTAAATAACATAATGATCTTGCCATTTCAATTCTTCAAAATCAGTATGCTACAAAAGATAACTTTGTAATGAAAGATAATCTCATATATCATCATAATTATAAATACTTGCTCTTAAGAATTCAAGACCACAAAATCACATAAATTATGGGAGATAAATGTGGTATAACAAGCATGAAGCTAAGCCGTTATATATTTAAAAACAGAGCGTTACACGTATTAATGTAGCTAATCTTTTAACCATGCAAATCTCGTTTTAGTGATGGTGTATGCATTCATGTGCATAATGCATATCATATAATGCATATATATAAGTTCATAGTATAATTCATAGTACGAAGGACGCATGACTTTTAAAAGTCGTATAAAATGCATAGATGCACTGCTATACTCATTAAAATAATAAGCACATACATTAATGATATTAAAGCATTATATGATACTTAGCTTAATTGGGGAGGAAGAATGCATTAGACCCACACTTCAATTCTTCTACCATTAAGATCAACTTACAGCAACTTCAAATGGTTAGAATCCCAAGCAGCAGTAGGAGCATTCTGACTCACCAGCAGCAATCACGAAGTGCAGTTGCATATTCGGCTGTGGCAAGATTTATGTAGTTGGACCCGTCAAGTGGTTGGAGCTTTGCAAGATCAAAAGCTATTTTGGATGACATTTTCAGAATAATTTTGGTTTTAACTATTGGAGTTTTAAGATGAAAACGGCGCAGGTAGTACTCCCACATCTGTCATGTATATATATATATATATATATATATATATATATATATATATATATATATATATATATATATATATATATATATATATATATATATATAGATATAGGGTGCGAATCTCATGAGACCCCCATATTAAATGAGATCATGAGATCACATCCCACCCATTAATACATTTGTAATACATTAATATATATTTAGTGTAAATAAGGCCATAATTAAATCTGAAGGGTTAAAAATTAATTATATTAATGTGTTAATTTTGGTTAGAATTAGATTAGAATCTTTGACATAATAATAGACCACATAATTAATGGAATCCATTCTTGTTAGTAGATGTAGCATTCAAACTATGGAAAGAGTGAGGAGAAGCACAGGAACAGTCCAGAGGTTGTGGATGATGAATAATAACATGCACATGAATATACAAAAATCAAAACACCAGAACATTGTATGTTGGCAAGTCTGGAATGTTCTCGTGCTTCTCCTCACTATTTTCATGGTTTGAATGCTACATCTACTAACAAGAATGGATTACTACTTATTTCCATTAATTATGTGGTCTATTATTATGTCAAAGATTCCAACATAAATATCATATGCAATTTTTAATAAATTATTTAGTTCGGATGTCTGCTGATTCTAGGCTTTGCTAAAATGAGAGGTTTTGTGTGTGTGTGTGTGTTTTTTTTTTTTTTTTTTTTTTGAATCATGAGTGTTCATGTTGTTAGATATGAGGCTTGCATTTCTTGCTGCAACAAGATAGAGACTGATAAATCTCAATGTTTCTATACTAATTGTAGTCCTTGAAAAAGCAGAATATTGGAATAAATTTTACTTGTTTTCTAAATGTTGGCATTTATATTTCCATTTTGTCATCCTAATTTCTATGACTTTTGTGCCGCATTTAATACCAATACAACTGTTATTCTCGCTAGATTCCTTATTGTTAATATAAATGTTAAAAGAAGAGAAGTGTAAGAACTCTTTCCCTCAATCCCTCTCTCCATTGCCTCTTCCTTTGTTCTATCTTTATATTTATTTGAAATGTTTGCTTGGGTTAGTAGTCCTGTTACATACAAGCTACAATTGATTCAATTATTAGTATGTAATGTAATGAAATGTGACTTTTTTCTCAGCTCACTATAATGGATTTATGTTAGAATAAGGAATGTGATGCTTACTTTGTTATATAACATTTTTCGTATTCTTACGCACACAACAAAATCAAATTCATACAGTTAAAAAACCACACTCAAAACGTTGACGGCTTTACGACCATCTAACACTTTATGTCAACACTTTCAATCAACAAACCTAGGCATTTGGTCGGTCTGCCCCTAGACAGTTGCCCATTCAACACTACGCACATCTGTCATTATTCTCCGTGTAACGCACACGCTTACTAACCACAACGCACACACTACAATATACTATGTGCGTGGCTCATTAACTAGCACATGCATACAACACCCATGCACACATCACTGTAAATAACAATTTCGATAATAAAAAATCAACGACAAGTACTTTTACAATTTTTTTAAAAAAAAATAAAAACAACATCCTGAATGCACGCACACATCTAATTAGAATTTTGGTAACAATCAAACACAAAAAAAAATTGCATTGACCCCAATTTTATAATGTGCGTGAGTTCATGTTCGGCGGGTACAGTAACTTACACACGCTGTTGCACACCCATGCACACACCACCGTAAAAAAAGCAGACGACATGGTGTGCAGTATTTTGCCTAGTTGTTTGCACACGCCATAACACCACGGCGCACACATCTATGCTACCTTTTAATCTGTATTACAGAAAATGGTACATGAACTAACTTAGGAGACCAGTGATTCACACACCTAACTACACACCACTGCATACACTAACCAGTAGTTTGCACACACCGACCTCCACAATACATCCTTAGTACTTACGTAGGTAAATTGAGAAAAATTTCACGCCAAGTTGTTCGCACATGCCGTAACACCCTAATGCACACACCTATACTACCCTTTAGTCAATATTAAAAAAAAACAACCACATCAAACACAAATATACGACCACACCTTATAACAATTTCATGCCAAGATCGCATTATAATAACTCGCATACACTGTTGCACATATGCGCACACACCACCGTACATTACCACTCAGGCGCATAAAAAAAACCAACGAATAGTGCACTTACAAATTATTATTTAAAAAAAAAAACATTAACAAACATTCAAGCACCCACATAATATTAATGATTTATTAGAAAAAAATACGTAGCAATGCCCTCATCCCTAAACGTTGCACATGCCAAAGCACATATTCACATACACTATTATAATTACATTTCCGGTGTCCCAAAAAATTAAAAAAACAACACGTAGTACTATTTCAATCTTCTTTTAAAAAAAAATCATATATCTGACTTCACGGACACACATAATATCAATTTTGGTCGAAATGCCAAAATTA